GTTCATCCAGCCCTGCACCTTGTTGTCTCGGATTCTCCAGCATCTGCAGTTCCTACTATCTCAAAGTCTACTGAAAGTTCTTTTTTGAATTAATATCTCAGTTTCTGAGTGGTTTCTATTTCATCACAATATGATTTATGTACAATTAATCACATTCAAGATATTCCCCCTTGTAATTTCTTCCAGCTGAGTATATTATTAACTGACTTATTAAATTGCCATTTTCTATTGTGTGATTTATTTTCATCTTCATTGAATTGTGTATCTGATTTTGTCAACCATCTTGTCCTGAGCTCCAACAATTTTCTCATCTCCTGCCAAAATCTTGCATGTATTTGCATTGACTGCTTCTAAAGACCATCCCTCATTTCCTTTCTCTTAACTGCCTCCCACATTTGATTAAATTGCCTCATATATTCTCTAGCTGCTCTTGAGCCTTAAAGCTTTTGTTCCAGCTTTTTCAAACTTGGACAATATAGTTTTCCTCACTTTTCCAAATGGGTGGTAATATTTATTCATATTATTTATGCTAAGGCAGTACCAAAAGTAATAATCTTGTCTCTGCATTTGGGATCTGAAGAGCTGTAATTTTTTTTTTGGAAATATGTGGGCTAATTCTTTGCAGTATTTAATTGCACATTAAAAAGTAATTTGCAATTGGAAGAAGATGGCTTGTGAATGATTAACAGTAAGATAACTAGATGAGTCAGAGCTGAACTTATATTCTTGAATGGATTTCGTCATATCCTGCCTGCTCATCAAATTAACCTGAAATCCTTTTCATTGTTCACTACATTAGATGTTTTAATGAGGATAGAAATTAACACAATACTTAAATGGAAAACAATTGAATGCTTGGCAGGATAGTTGACATTTTTAATAGCTCTGAGAGCATTCATATTGAACCCAATGGAAAATCAACATCATCTTCTCATTTAAAATCTCCTCAACAGCTATGACAAGAGAGGTCTGCTTCAACACAACAGTTATGGGTTTAGAAATGCTTTTCAAGTACTCATATATATTAGTCATTCAGGCCGTGTTTATGAAAAAAGCTATTTAGCAAGACTGTAGCATGCAGAACTGGAAAAGAACACAGCAATATATTGGACCAAATTTCAAAGAATGCTATATTTCTTATATCCCTCAATCACTTTGCTTACAAATTATTCAGTTTGTAAGCTTGTAAAGAATCCGTTATTCTCAATTCATAATGGTAACCACTAATTTATAAAATGTATCAGTTGTACAATATTCAAAGAAATGCAACGAAAAGTCAAACGTTTGATTCAAAGTCTGTAATGGTCTCATGTACTGATAAATAACAATGCAAATTGAGATTAAGATTTTGCTCTTAAGTCCATAATATAGTTAGAGCTAAATTCAGAGTCTCCAATGACAATGTATAGTCATTCAATGGATTAGCTGTGGCTCAGTTGAGAGTGCTCCTGCTTTTGAGTTGGATATTCTGGGTCTATATAAAAAAATCTAGGACTTTAACATAAAAATTACAGCTAAAAATCTAGTACAGAGCTGAGGAATTCCTGCACCGTGAGAGCTGTTGATTTTCAGATTTTACATTAAAAATCCAAAAACCCTTTCAGATGGATCTAAAAGATGCCATGACACTGTTTCAATAAAAACATGGGAATTATCCCCGGGGCCCTGCTGAAATCACTGGCCTCAAACAGCATGATAGAAACAGATCACTGGTCATTATCGTATTACTGTTAATGACAGTTTGCAGTGAGCAAATTGGATGGCCTGTTTCCTAAATTATAACGATGACCACACTATTTGGCTGCAAATTGTGTTGAAACATCTGTTAGTCATGAAAGATAAATTTAAATGCAAGTTTTTTTTCCTTCATGTGGGAAAACTGATTCAAAGGTATGCAATATAAGAAGTAGTTTATAACTATTCAACCAGACATTGACAAATCCACATATCTCTGAAGAACAGTCCAAAGAAACACTGAGCACCGCGCATACAAAGGGAATGTCATGAGCCTTACCTGTCAAACAGTGGCTTCTCACCGCAGTCGAAGGCCTCTTGTAACTCTTTTACTAGATTCGCCTGACCAGGTAAGCGGAACAGACCCTCTTCTTTCAGTCCTCTCTGACGAATGAAGTCTGCACACTGCTCCACAAGTGTCGGTGCCAGGTGTGTCCCGTACCTGCGCTCATATCGTACAGTGTCTTCAAGTCGTTGGCCAAAGATACCTGCCCAATTGCAAACACAAGGCCAACAGCTTACCCAATAGCAAACATTTCCAGATGAAACTTATGCCTAAGTAGAAATAGAAAAAATCTCTTTGTAGAAAATTCACAATAGTTAAATCACCCCTTTAATGATCAAGCACAAGACCATCAAAGCTAACAGCTACTTCACATTTCTGACCTTTAAATGTGTTGTCATTATGCGTGCGTGGACTGTGGCACATTAAACACCAACATAGTCTGACATAGAAGGACTGACAATCTGTGATGGATTGTTTATTTCCAATCACAACAAACTCTTCAGTAATTAATGGCTTCTTTTGATCTTGTAAAGCTCTCAGTACTACACGACAGAAGCAACACTTAACAACTGACGAAATACCTTTTCATGCACTGTGAAGGTGTTTGGACAAGCAAAAGGATTCGATTCCAGCTGATGAAATATGTAAAAATATACACTGGCAGCTCTCACAGCTTTTTGAAATAGATGCTGATATCATCCAAAATGCGACACATATTCCAACAAAACTTACCTTTTCTGAAGCTAAAACATCTCTTAATTTTTCTGTAGGTAGTTTTGGGGAGAAAAGTTGGATATGTCAAAGCACTAGTTGTGCAGAATATGATGTTCTTATTCTCAGGCATTCCAAAGTATTGAAATTAGTCAGTGCAGAATACGTTGTCCATATGGGCTATTCTTCAGAATAGACTGGTCACTGGGATTATTATTAAGCTCCAAAGACACAAAGAAATATTTTTACAAAGTAATATTTCACAAGCAGTTAGCCATCAAAGAAAAGCTCAAAAATCCCAGTATGCTCACTGTGGTGACAGACATCTCTGTGAGGGACGACTTAAAAGCCCTCTGTGAGACACAGCTCCAGGTCTGCAGTCTATCAGTGTTACTTCCTGCCTCCAGCAGTGAAACTGAGGCAGAAAATATTCGGTCAAAAGGAGAACTGACTTTCACTTGACTTGCAGCTGCAGTCACATGTGGTAGCTTTCCAGCAGGCAATTAATGATCTCTTTGGCATGCGTGGGCAGTGCCAATCCACTAACCCTTGGGAGAGCGAGAGAGTGCACTCACTTTACATCTCCTGACTGCCTCCTTTTCTTTTATGTTGGTCCTGCAGTCTTCCTGATCTGCTGTTATTAGTCAAAGCACAGACCTTTTATATCAATAGAATCTAATCAGGGAATCTTGTAGGCAAACATGCATGAAAACAATCGTTTCTTTCTCCTTCATTACCTTATTCCTCTGGACTGACATTAAGTGGCCAGTGTAAGGCCTCCCCCACTCCCGGAGCTCCCAGCCAGCAAACAATAATATAATCATGTTGAGGTAAATGATTAATAGAGAGGCATAGCCATTAACTGGAGCTGGCATTCTGTGTATGTTAAGTAGAGCAGCGTCGGTTGTAATTTTTAGAGTCAGGATCGGATTTTCTTAGCTTCTCTGGGACGGTAAGGGGCATTAGCTTGTACTCACTGGTTGGAAGTAAAAATAGGTGGACTGATGCTAAATGGAGGATCAATATGTAATTTAATTCTCCCAGGCATCACTTATTTACTTGAGGCACCAGCTTATCGTGATCTTTTTGCCATTTTGAGTTGGTGTAATATTTTAAATCACTGTCTGCTCACAGTATTCAGTACCAGTTACAGTAACTAAACAGAAGATGAATTTAGTTCAGAGATACATGTGTCCAGTAATGAATTGAAGAGTTAACACCTTTTTCTTTTCATGAGCAAAATTTATAGAAGATCCTCTGATTAACTCAGCAGATTTCACTACAATGCCTTGTATATCACAATATATAGACAGGCCACCAGAAAGCCATCACTCAGCTCAGCGATGCACCCAGGAAACAGCTGAGAAATTCAGGCCAATATGAGAAAGTAATCTAGAAAATTCCTCTCTGCCAGCCTTATCATCTCAGAGGCTAGTCTAACCCCAACTGCTTTCTGTTCCTTTCATTTCCTTCAAGTTTGTGCTATTGAGGACCTTCAGCAAGCTTTAAAAATAGTATTTTAGTCGAGACACTCCAGGGTCCCACTATTAATTCAGTGGAAGAAAATACAGGAATCTAGACCCTGTAGAAGTTAGCTGTGAAAATATTTAATCCCCACATTAATGGCACATCATCATCGTAAGTATTCCATTCATTTCATATCAAATAAACAACAACACCAGCACTGTATAATATAACAATGTTCAGGTAACAAGAGATGCAGCACATAACTTGCTTAATAAACTTAGATTTTCCTGGATGGATTCATTTTGATGAGAACTTTAACAAAGTACCAGAAGAGAACGTTGCCTGAGTCCATAATCTTCCAGTGGATGGGCATCAGTTACACACATTGGACCCTATTGGGGGTGCTGAACAGAACAGGAAGACTGAGCACATCCTAGGTCTTAAAATCAGCAGGAATGTTAAGGGGTAGGCATAATGATAGCTTTGTAAGAGAGTGTGAGTGAAGTTCCTTGTGTTGATTTGTGTCATGACTGTACCCATAGGTGCAAATGTCTGGAGAGGAATTTGCACAAAATTTTCATGGGTAAACTCATTAGTTTACCCATTGGAGGAGTGATTGCCACAAATCCAGTTGACAACATGAATAATCCTTATTCTGCAGGATGAATCCTAAAGTATCACTGTCTTGCAGGCAGCACAAAGGAGATTCTTCACACTCTATATGATTCTATCTCCTGCTGCCTTACTGTGACGCCAAATTTGACAAATTCTCAGGCTTTCCTGCAAAGTGTGGCCTCGTAAACTGATGCCCAAAGGCAATCTGGTTTATGTGGCAGATATCAACCATTGTTGCTTGAAATACACCAGTGTTATTAAAGTGTGGTAGTCACCAGCTAATCAAGGGAGTCCGAGCAATTCGAGATAAAATTAAGGGTAAATAATCAGTTGGCATTGTTAAGTCAAGAATTTAGTTTATTGGTTGGAATTTTCATTGATTTATTTGCTTTGTGCTAGGAGTGTGATTTTATGGTTAGGGTCTATGTTTTAATGTTAGCTAAATAGTTAAATAGCCTAAAAGCTAAACAAACAGTGAAATAACTATTAACAAACATAATACCTGTGGCTCACACTTTGTGCAGGGTCAGCAGCTAACTGCTCAAGCTGAGGGTCTCTGAGCTTCATGGACAGCTGGCAAAACTAAAGTGCAGACAGGAGCGTTTCCTGACAAACATGTTTCAGGAGGTGGTTACGCTGCAGCGGCAGAGGGTTTGACAGAGTGTGGGCATTTTCCATGGAGTTTAGGAGGTCCAGTCAAACAGGCAGGAATCCCTATGAGTGTGACACTCACAAATCACTACTCAGAGTTGAATATCAGGAAGGGTAATAACATCTCGATGGCACAGGAGCAGGGTTAGGAAGTCAGAAACAAATCCACACTACGCAAAATTCAGCTGCACACAGAAGTACAAGGTGTAGCAACGTGGCTGTTTTATCTTCATTCATTCATAGGATGTGGGCATCACCAGACAGGGCAGTATTTATTGTGCAACCCTAATTATTAAGAGTCAACCACTTTGCTGTGGGTCCGGAGTCACATGTAGGCCAGACCAGGTAAAGATAGCAGTTTCCTTCCCTGAAGGACATTATTGAACCAGATGAGTTTTTCCCAACAATCGGCAATGGATTCATAGTCATCATTAGACTCTTAATTCCAGATTCTTTATTGAGTGCAAATTCCATGATCTGCTGTGGCAGGATTTGAACCCAGGTCCCCAGAAAATTACCTGGGTCTCTAGATTAACAGTCCAGTGATAATACTACTAGACCATCACCTCCCCTTTGTTACCAGGGGTTTGATAGCCAGAGGGGTAAACAGTTGTTTCTACAACTGACTTTTGCCCTGAACAGCATATTGCCTGCTTTGTTGCTTTGAAAAGCATAATCACTAATACAAAAGCAAAATACAATGGATGTTAGTAATCTAAATTAAAAACAAAATGCTGGAAGAATCTAGCAAGTTTGGCAGTGTATGTATAGAGATAAAAATGAACTTATGTTTGAGGTCTCTGACATTTTATCCGTTTCATTGGGTAACTCATGAACAGGTCTCAGGACCAATGAGGCAGGGCAGGGCTGGCATTAATTCGGAAAGAATGGGCCACCACATCTAGTTGTAGAGAGCAGAGATGAGCTGCAGAGAAAGCTAGGAGGGACAAACAGCAAAAAGACAAATACCAACAGGACAAAGAATGTGGAGAAAGAACAAGAATTAGATGAAGGAAAGAAACAAAGCCTTTAACTATCGACCCTCCCTTGGACAGATTATTACTACCCCTTTCTGAATGTGCTGCAGTCTGGAATGTTTAAATCCAATTACTGGTTATATTTAAAGTCAGATCTCTATTACAGTCATTATTTCATCATCCTATGAGGCAATTTGCACTTACCATTCATCAATCTTACTTACAATACGTCTTGAATTAACACAGATTCATGCAAAATGCATAAGTCTTCTGCTAATGAGTAAGCAATCATAGGCTGCAGCATCAGGATGCTTGGGGTGGGATGAGGTACAGGCTGGTGCCGTTACATCTTTCTGAATCCTATCATAGAATCTCCACAGTGTGGAAACAGGCTCTTCGGCCCAGCAATTCCACACCGACCCTCACAGCATCCCACCCAGACCCATCCCTTGATCCACCTAATCTACACATCCCTGAACACTACGGGCAATTTAGCATGGCCAATCCACCTAGCCTGCACATCTTTGGACTGTGGGAGGAAACCCATGCAGACACAGGGAGAACGTGCAAATTCCACACAGACAATCGCCAGAGGGTAGAACCGAACCCGGGTCCCTGGCACTGAGAGGCAGCAGTGCTAACCACTGAGCCACCATGCTGCCCCAAATCCTGTTAAACTCCATTTTATAGCACCCAGTGACAAGGTGTAAAAGAACTGCCATTCAATACATTCTACAAAATCCTTCAACGGTGACGGTTGTGAAGGTGGGCAAAAGTTTGC